TGTGTGTCGGTGTATATATATATATATATATATATATGTATGATGTAAGTGTGGACGACCAAAGAAATCAACGCCTAAACGCTAGGAAAAATTGGCGAACGAAGTGGTTGCGTAATCATTTCATCCCTGGTTGCTGCAAGTGGCCAGAGAAACATAGATGGTGAAACGCAACAATGCAACTACGCACGCGCGCACGCGTACACTTACACACGCACGCACGCGGGCATACGGCCACACGCACACGCACGTCACACACGCACGCGCCGCACACACCACGGCACGCTCGCATATACGAATGCACGCGTGCAAAACGCACGGCCACGCATACGATGCACGCGATTATATTCGCACGGTCTCTCTCTCCTCTACAAGCACACATTTCGCCGCCTCTTAACCAACACACGCGGCGGCGGTCGCAGCGTGAGTGCCAGACTTGCTGCGCCACAAAGCCGTCGCCATCTCATAATCGCTCATCGAAGTTTTAATTAAATTAATTTTATCGCCCGCCGGAAACGTTATTATGCCGTAATGGGCCCTTCGTAATTATATCCAAGACATCGGTAATAATGAAGTAATTATAAATATGAGGTGTCAGTAGATGCATTTAGCGCGCTGAAAGGAAAAACAGGTGAATGCGCGTCGATGCATTGAGCGAGTCGGGCGGCTGCGCCTGATGACGCGGCAGCCTGCCTTGAGTCAAGCCTGCGCCTCGATGAATTTTTCCGGCGCTAGACAACCTAACAATCGATTTGAACTAACTTCCATTTCGCCGCCGTTGCCGACTATTCAGCCGCGACGCACGCTGGCTGCGGTTGTTTAACGATTGTGAGAGAGAGGGGCAGGCACGGGAGTGAGGGCGAGGAGTCGGGAGAAAAAAGCGGACGAGATGGTGTGAAGAGAGAGAGAGAGAGAGAGAGGAGAGTATGAGAGGGGGATAGAACCGAGAGCGCAGACAAGCGAGAGAGAAAGAGAGGGGAAGGAGGGTGAGAGCGAGAGATAGAGAGCGCGAAAGAGAGGGCGATGGAGGAGAGAGAACAATATCGAGAGAGAGAGAGAAAGAGAGAGAGAGAGGGGGAGAGACAGGGCGAGAGAGAGAACACACACACGTACGCACGCACGCACACACGCACGCACGCACGGACACACGCACGCACACGGCAAGCGCCGGCGACTACATCACGCGCCTTTATGCGTCGGCACTTTGCGACGTCGGTAATGTATTTCCTGCGCAAAGATCCGTCCAATTTGCGCGACTCGATATTACGGGGCGAGAGAAGAGAAAGCAGGGAGGAGAGGAGAGGAGAGGAGAGAAAGAGAAGCGGGGGCGGTGCTGCTGCTGGTGTTGCTGTGCGTGCTTCTACACTCGTGTTGTACGTGGTCGCGGGAGCGTTGCGTGCGCGGAGGCGGAAAGCTGTTGTCGCATGCGAGAAAATGGCTTCCAAAGCGCAGCGATCATCTGAAATATTATCGCTAAACTCTCTCGCTGACGCCATGCGTGCGTGCATGCGTGCGTGCGTGTGTGCGTGCGTGCGTGCGTGCGTGCGTGCGTGCGTGCGTGCGTACAGTGTGCATCTGTGCGCGCGAGCGATAAATTTATACATGCCTCACTAGAAAGTAGAGGGGTGTGTAGATACTTTGCACGTTGTATGTAGAAGCAGTTCCGTGTGACTATAGTGCACTGATGCATGGATGTTTGTCTTATACTAGCAGAGTATATAGTATATTATGTTTTATGTATTATGTCTCACGTCTTAAGTCTGATCTGATATCTGTTTTTACTAATCTATTCTCTCTTATCCAATGTCATATTTATGTCTTTACGTGTGACGTTTAATGTATGACGTCTCATGTCTTATGTACTATCTCTTATTCTTTATCTCATATCCTATTTATTATTATTTTTATCTGTGAGGTGTTGTGTCTTTAGCCATACCATATGTCTGATATGTCTTTATATGTTTTATTGTCATCCTACTCCCGATTATATTTATAGAAAAAAAGATTCGAGTCACTAAACACAGATGTGTGGTTATTTGCGATATGTGTATAGAAGCAATATTGTGTCGCTATAGTATATAGGCGGAAATTGCCATGTCCACTACGAACGAGTTGCTTGCAGACTGAGGTTTAGTTGAGTCGTTGAGTGGAGAGATGAGTGCTTGATCAAACATTGTACGAGTGTATCTCTTACAACGAGAGCGTTTGCTCGCGAGTTCGCATGGTGCGGTAAGATGTTCTATGAGTCGCAACATCGAATACGATACACGTTTTATTCACGTATATATTATACACATGCATACACACACTATATACACATATATATACAATATACTCTATACACACGATATCCTATTATACACTATACACACTGTATGTATACACACACACGCACACACACACTGTATGTATACACACACACGCACACACACACACTCACACACACACACACACACACACACACACACACTACACACACACACACACACACACACACACACAC